GAAGTGAAGAGAGAAGTGAAGAGAGAAGTGAAGAGAGAAGTGAAGAGAGAAGTGAAGAGAGAAGTGAAGAGAGAAGTGAAGAGAGAAGTGAAGAGAGAAGTGAAGAGAGAAGAGAAGGGAGAAGAGAAGGGAGAAGAGAAAATAAAGCATCAATTCAGAAGTCTCGGTTAGCGAACGGCTCAGCTATACTAAACCGGAACACAGATATAATGAAAGCAACCCGAGCCTTCCCTACGAAAGTATATGATGATGGACTGATGGCAAAGCAACGGCTCACCAACGAATGTACTAACAGAGGCGATGAACATTCCCAGTAGAGGGTATCTTTGGAGCCATATTTTGACGATGTCACGAAAGTTGTGAATATAGGTATAGATAAATCTTGATCTAACCCAAACTCCGGTCCAGCGTAGACGCCGCTTGTGCCGAGAAGCCCTATCTCTACTCTATATTCTATCCCATGCTTTCCAAAATTCTCGTATTCCAAATACCCTTCGTGAAGGGGACAGTTCGTAAAGCAACAATGCTTAGAACTTGCCCTTAAGCAAGTTGTTGATCATCTCGCGGCCGGTGATGACGGAGGTGCGCCAGAGGGTAGGGAAGTCGAGCGTGCTGCTCAGGGTATCGGCATAACCGAAGAACAGCATGGGAGGGATCCAGCCGCGCGCATACTCGAGCGCGAAGCAGCTCTCGGGCATCTTGTACTGCTTGACGGTGCCGCGAACGAGGTGGTGAACGGAACCGGGAGGGTAGACCTCAGGCTCGTACTCGCCGGGGACGTAGGCAGTCTGAGTGCCGGTGAGGATGTGGAAGTAGTCGTCGGCGGTGTGGCGGCCGGTGTGACCCTCAGTACCGATGGCAGTGCCTGTTGTGTGGAGTGTGCTGTTAGTGATGGGTCCAAAGAAGCGGGAAGCACAAGCTTGCGAGAAGCGTGGTGGAAGACGGGGCTTACCGAAGATGATCAGGTACTCGGTGATGGAGGCGTGGATGATGTACATAGCACCCATGGCACCACCAGCGTTGTTAAACACCCACTCCTCATCATTGTTGACGTAGGGCGCAACGCCGTTGCGGTCGTTCAGCTCGTCGACAATGTACTTGACAATAGCCTTGGTGTCGTTGCCGTGGGCGCTGATGGCGCGCTTGGACAGATCGTGAAGGTGCTCAGTATCGAAGACGTAGAAGGACTCGAGACGCTGCTCAAGGACGTATGCGATAGGCGCAACCAGGGCGAACAAGATGGCGAAGAACTTGAGCCAGCCACCGATACTGCAGCGGCAGCGGCAGCTGCAGCGGCAAGACGAACCGGAGGAAGAGCCGGAGCTAGAGCCAGAGCCGGACGGCTTGTTGCCGCCGGAGGAGGACTGCTTCTTGGGAGGCATTGTGACGGTTTGCGATTGACGAGACGGCACAATGTCGAGGAGGAGAAACAGGGGAGAGAGAAGACGGGAACATTGAATTATGTATAAAGAAACAAAACAATGGCCACAGAGATTCCACCGCCGACAGGGGGGTCCGTCAGCCCAACCTCAACAAACCTACCCACGGCAACCCCTGATTTCCTTGTGGAGGACCCTTGTGGTTGCAACATGCCCGCCCAGGCGGGTGTTGCGACTTCCGACACGTTCGATTTTGAGAGCTTTGACCAATGGGGACGCTCAATTGCGCGGATAGCGTTAAACCGATTTCTTGAAGGAGCCACCGCTACGACCAATTGGAGGCAGACACACCGGCAGGCTGGAGTGCATCCAGAAGCTCCCCCTCGCCGGCAGCTCAAGTTGCCCGGCAGCACTGTCGGTGCAAAGCAGCGCGGCACTAACAGCGCTCTTGGCACCGACAGGGGTTTCTATTTTTTCGGTGCCCCTCCGTCATTGAGTCCCGTCCGCAGGCCCGGTCAATCACATTTCAATATTCGAATGGACATCTACCTCCACGTACCAGAAGCTCCAATCTCAGTTGTTATCGCCGCGGGGTCCGTTCTGTCGCATCGTTATCTCTCATTTGTTTAGTTTCCCTTTGCGCGTCGCACCGCGTCTCATACCTATCATACCACTTTTACACATTCGCAAACTTTCGTCATCGATATCTCCATCGACCTACAACGACCGACACAATGGCGAGCACATCCTCTTCCCCTTCGATGGCCATCCCCGGCCAATTCCTTGGCCCTATCTCCAAGTTCCAACCCGGTCCTGGAACCCATATCCACGAGTCGAACCTCTACTCTTCGCTGCTCGGTGTCGTCAACATCACACAGCCCGCCAAGGCGCCTGGCCCTGCTAAGCGCTTGAACAAGATCATCAACACCCAGACCACCCCCGCCGAGCTACCGACCATCTCGGTATTGCGTTCAGCGGGTTCGTCAGACAAGCGCGAGGTGCTTCCTGAAGTGGGCAACATCGTGCTATGCCGGGTGATTCGCATCATGCCGCGCCAAGCGGTTGTGGCCATTCTGATTTGCGGCGATACTGTTTTGGAGGCCGAGTGGCAGGGCCTGATTAGAGTGCAGGACGTGAGAGCAACAGAGAAGGACAGGGTAAAGATCTACGACAGCTTCAGGCCTGGAGATATTGTCAGAGCCGAGGTGGTGAGTGCTCTTCTCCTCTCTTTCTGCCAGACATGGACTGAAACACTTTTACTGACGTGCTGCCGCCCACTAGATTTCACTCGGTGACCAAGCCAGCTACTACCTGTCGACAGCGCGTAACGAGCTCGGTGTCATCATGGCGACAAGCGAGGCCGGTAACACCATGTACCCCGTCAACTGGAAGGAATACAAGGACCCTGAGACCGGGCTAAGCGAACCCAGAAAGGTTGCGAAGCCCTACTGAAGTCGGCGGATGGAGTTTCGAAATGAGACATGAAAAGGATGCTTGAAAAGCAATACATAGCGGAGTTACTAGCTTGAGGTACAGCGTGTTATCAAGGTGAAACGGGCGTTAATCTGCTCGGAGAGCTCGCCGCGTCATGGAAGCAGGTGCTCTATCAGCACCCGGTTGGGGGCTTGCAAATGCGGCGGCACGTCGACCGTCGAGCTCTCACGGTCCGCCGGGCCATCGACACGGTCGGCCACTCGCATCACAAGCAAGCATCCCAGCGACAGATCCAAGCCAAGAGATGTCTTGGCCCCAGAGTTTCTGGCGGATATTACTCCAGGTACGCCAAGGTAGACCGCGCAGAACATGGTCTTGGGTGATAGGGCTCGCACTCAGAGAAGTATGGAGATGGGTCATGTCACGATTCACTCTTGACACAGCGGAACAACACAGTCATGATACAGCGCCTGTTTCGGGGATAACGAAGACGATGGCGAGTTATGATCTTGTCACGTCGAGGAAAAGATATAGTGACGCCAGACACGGCTACGCCTGTCATTGCATTCAGAAACTGGATACCCGTTCAAAAATCTGTATAGAAGATACCTTGCGAACAGCCTTCTTCATACGTACCTTACTATTCCCTTGCCCATCTGTTGTCCGTGCCGTCATCCGCCGCCTGGGCCAAACGTTAATGAGTGCTGTTTCTTTAAGGCGGCTCAAGGGCGGCTTGGCGTCTCGTATACCCCCCACATGGGCCTTGCATCGTGCATGCGGTACCTACATACCGCTGAAGATCATCGGAACGGCGGGGGGGGCGTAGAACGGGGGAGGGCGGTAGAGTCCCGTACGTCACCGAAACCCTGCGTGCCTTGACACATTTCCACCCATTTCTTGTCCTCCCTTTTACAGCTTGATCATTCTTCAAAAAGGAGGAGGCAGAGTGAGAGCTCTGGCGGCGTGTTGGTTAGCGACCTCACTCAGCGCCCCCAGATACACAAAACAAAGTCTAAGACGAAAACAACAAGCTCCCTGCCCCTGTTTCAACGGGAACCAGGCCATCCCCACCGCAACGGCGTCTCCATCTAGTTTTCTCGTTCCTGACAGGAGTCCACTTGGTTCCCGAAAAGAAAATATATTCGAGATCAGACGAACCGCTTCAATCCATCATCTTTGATTTTCGTCCAATCCGACAAGACGCGCGAACTCTCCCTGTCGATATCATCTGTCCTAACGGGGCCCTGGTGAGCCATGTCAACCACCGCCACCATGACGATGACCGCCGCCCCCGTCATCGTCGAACCGGTCACCCAAACGTTATCTACCGCTCCTTGCTGCCCACAATGCGGTATCGATCTCGAGGGGACCCAACCCTTCTTGGAGATGCAGGCGGCCGTTCTCGATGCCCACAACAAGATCCAAGAACTTCAAAGCCAAGTGCGACTGCTCAACGAAAAGGCTTCATCCGCCGTCGATCGCTGGGCCGATTACGAAGACGAGATAGCCCAACTACGAGGGCAACTCAAACAGCAGCAGCAACAACAACAACAATCCCAGTCCTCCCCAGTTGCGTCCCAAATATCATCACCGCAACAACAACAACAACAACAACAACACGCCGATGCAGCCCTCGCCACCCCTCCCCAATCCGCAACCCCCTCCACCACCGCCACAGCCAACGCCTCCCCCGCCGCCCCTCGCAGCGTCAGCTCCGTCTCCTCCTTCCTGCCCACCGGCGCCGCCTCCCGTCTCTCTGCCTTCTTGACCTCGCGCAAATCAACGCCCAACCTCAAATCCGCCCAATCTTCTACCGGTCCAGTTCCTCATATGCCAACGCACCAATCCACCCTTTCGCAATCGTTCACCCTAAGCAGCCCACTTCAACAGCCGTTCCAATCCACCTCTACCTCTCTTCAGCAACAAAAAGAGATCTCCGACCTCCAGGCAGCCCTATCCCAAGAGAAATCCCTCCACACGGAAACCCGCGCCAAGCTAGCCAAAGCCGAAGCGAAACTAACCGCCACGTCGCGCGAGATTGAGGAGTTATCGGTGACCCTGTTTTCGGAAGCCAACGAGATGGTCGCGTCGGAAAGGAGGGCGAGAGCGAAGCTGGAGGAGCGGGTAAAGACGCTGGAGAAGAGAGACGAGCAGAAAAGGGAGAGGCTGGAAATGCTGGAGGGGGCGGTGAGGAGGATGGAGAGGGTTAGGGACGTTTTGAAGGAGACTTCGCAGGTAATGGAACGGGGAACACATGGGGGTGAAGAGGGAGAAGAGGATAGTGATTACGAGGGGAGGTTACCGGTGGCGGTGGTGAGGAGGCAGAATTCCAGGCTGGATCTGGATGATTGACGGAAAGGAAAAAATAGTAATATCTAATGGTAACCTCTGACGAGATACAGGGAGGAGGTTGGTAATTCTAATATAATTTAATGACGGGGATCAGTGGGTATGTAACTTACTTAGTCTAGATCTTGGTTTTGGGCTAGCATCTGGCGGGGGAAAAAAGGGACACCAGGGGCAGGCAGGCAGGCATCATGATGAAATTGCATGGTCGGCGGGCTTGGTTCTTTGGATATAGACGGAGTCGGGAAGGAGCACACATGGCAACAGCATTTGCTGGATACCTCTAGCACCCTAAGAGGCAGGATAACATTGACCTCAGAATAATCATAACTGCATTAATTTGGGTATACTTTGCTTTATTTTGTTTTCGCTTGCTTTGACAATAATGACTTCTTTTATGCTTTCGCCTCATCCTTTACAGAAGCGGATTCTTCTACTTTGACCTCACCTGCGGGCTGCTCCGGTGTTGGTGTCGGCGTAGGCTGCTTCTCGGTCTTGGCGTCTTCGGCCTTGATCTCCTCGGCCTTAACCTCCTCAGTCTTGACTTCCTCCTTCTTGACTACCGGCTCGACAGCCTGGGCCTTTCCCGCCTTGTCCTTGTTGTTCCACAGGTCTAAAGCCTTCTGGATCTTGGGTGCCCAGACTTCCTCACCCAGGGCAAGGTCGGAGTACTCCATGCAGTTATCAGTGCCCAAGACAAACTCGCCTTGTCTAGATCTAACCAGTTCAGCCATCATAGCGCCGCACCCAAGCTTTTCCCCCAAGTCGTGGCACAGACTGCGGACGTAGAAGCCCGAAGTCACGGTCATGCGGATCTTGGCAGCCGGAGGACCCTTACCCTCCCAAGGGAACGGGGTATCGGGCGACGGCGGAGGAGGAGCAAGATCCAAACCCCTATTCTTGGCGTACTTGTCCTGCTTCTTGTCCTTGCCCTTCTTATCTTTCAGAGCGCCGGACATCATGGGCTCAGCAGCTCCGGTATCCGTCTTCCTCTTCTTGCCCGCGGGCTCCTCGGAAACCAGCTCATCGACCCGCTCCTCGGCCGCGCGCTTGTTGCTCTCGTGGTTCGCCAACGCCTTGACCTCCTTCTCCACTACCTCCGGTATTAATGTTGCGGCCTCCTCTGTGCTGGTCGTGCCGTCCTGCTGGTTCTTGGCTACCTGCCACACCGACTTGACCACGTTCTTCTCGGCCTGCTCGGCCTCCTCCGTCGGCCACCGGTGGTTGTGCGTGCCGGGTTCGTACCACTCGGTCAGCTCGAGTTCCGTCACGTCGACCTCGCGGGTCTCGATCTCGCGGGGGATCGGCTTGCCCTCGCGCGCGTATTCGTATAGCGGCTTGCCGTTCATCTTAAGCGCTGAGTAGAGAGGAGGCATCTGCTGAAACTTGCCGCGGAAGGAGTTGAGTGCCTCCTCGACCTGCTCGCGCGTGATGTTGCTGTAGTCGCCCTTCTTGATGAGCTTGCCAACGCGGTCGTAGGTGTCGGTGCTGGCGCCAAAGACCACGACGGTTTCGTAGGTCTTGGTGCAGCCCAGGAAGTCGTGCAGGGCCTTGGTGCCCTTGCCAACGCCGAGGATCAGAACACCGGTGGCCAATGGGTCGAGGGTACCGCCGTGGCCGATCTTGACGTTGATGTCCCGCTTGGCATGGGTGCGGCGTTGCTTTTGGTATTTGCCCTCCTTCTCACGGAGGGCACGATCGGCTGCTAGGAGGGGCGCGAAGAGCTTGGACGGGTTGAAGTGGTGTTGGCAGTCGCGGATCACCTGGGCTGAGCTCATGCCATAGGGCTTGTTGATGGCTGTTGTTGAGTTCAAATTAAGTCAGTTTTGTGTCTTCATGATGCGCCTCTGGACGACAGCTTCTACATAATGCGCGCCGAAGACTGAAGGCGTAGGTAGTGATGACATACCGAAGACGCCCTCGGCGAGGCTATTTTGTGCCATCTTGAAAATTGACCTCCAGATCATCTACAGTCTCTGGGGGTTGGATGTAAAAGGGACGGGGGGAGTGAGTTTAGGACGGGAATATACAACACAGCCTCTAGACTTCCGATGTGCAAGAACGGGTTCCCAATTGGAGTCTGCGCAGGAAGCTCTCCCTCGAAAATTCCTAGACTCGGACCTGACACTGCAGGGGACCGATCACTTATTTTAGGGCTTATCGTCCCTTATCAACAGCGGATGCGGAGCCAGTATACAGGGGTTAAAGTGCCTGGGCCCCCACACTGACGAACGATTTGGCAATCCGACCGTCGAGGTCGCGGATGTTGCTTGCTTGTTGCTTGGTGGAACAAGTCGCGTCCATTGGCTGTTGCTCCAGGGCCTGTCTTTTAGTGAGAGAAGTATCGCGTTACATGCCACTCCCCCCTCGAGATACCCTTGTTCTGACTGTTTTCCTCCACTTCCTTTGTTTTTTTTCTGATATCTACATTGTAAAATACTCCTATCTTCTCCCCTTGTCTCAGAAACGAACCCACTTTGGTAAGTGTCGACTCAACCGTTTATGAGGGTCTATAGGATATCACCAGTGTTAACAGTTCGAAATCAAAATCCAGGCAAGTTCCTCAAGAAGACCAGCTTCCCGCCAGAGTTCCATGAAACTCGATATCTACAATCATATCACTGCCGAGCTGCTTTCGTGGGGTGAAACGACAACATGGCCGGACCAGGACGCCCACGGCGCAGAAGAGGCTCTAGCGCATCCATCGACTCGACCGACGATAGGCGCCGGCGATGGACAAGAGAGTTGGCGATCCTCAAGCCGGTCACCCCAGGCACGTCGGATGACCTGTGGCCATATTTTGCCGTGTTGACGGATGCCACCATTTACCAAAAGGACGGAAAGACGCTGGCAAACCCGCTACATGTCGATCTCGAGGGGCCATTTATCGTACGCGGAAAACTTGAACCGGTGGAAGACGGTGACGACGAAGCTCGCGAATGCTGTGAGTTGACTTATTGACGCCCGTTCCCCTCGGGAAAGTTTCCCCGCTCAGATGCTAACAATCATCAAGTCCATAAGCCTTACAACAAAGCGACGTATATCGAAATCTCTAGATCGGAACGATACTCGATCGGATATGACCCAAACACCCTTTGGGTTTCTGGCGCATCGGGATGGTTCGAAATCATTCCCTCGAGGAAATACGAAACCATGTACAACGAGGTGATGGAGGCAATCACCCTATACTATGGAATCATGGGTCCGTACGAGGAGCACAAGAGGCTGCTAAAGAAGGCCGACAAGAAGAAGCGCAAGGATGTAAAGCCACCATCTTTGGACGAAATCTTCTTTTCATACGCGCTGACGGCAGGAGATGGAGCTGTCACGGTGAAAGAAGAAGTTGAGGCCCGATGTCTGAAGTGGGCACAGTTTCTGTTAGCTCATTTTCCCAAGGAATCCGAGATCAGATGGCAGGACACCGGGTTTGCCGCTTGGCTGCAATCAGCCCGCCCAGACCTTCAAAAGAAGATCAGCGACGTCGCTGCTGGATTGCTCACCAAACCAGCTGCTGAGCCGGAAGGTTTACTCGCGCGGGACGATCACTCACCTCAATCCCAAAGCTTAGCAATTCGTGAACCACCGAAAGGCGGCAGGACGACCAGGACCAGTCGACAGGCTAGTGAGCTGTCAGACCAACGCTCAGACAAAGGGAAGGGTATAGCCAGAGACAGCCCTGTGGAAACTCCGGTCCCAGCCCCAGTTTCAAACCGACACCTATCTTCAAGTTCCCCTCGCCCTCGGGCGTCGCCCGCCGTCATTACTGGTAGTGACGACCTTCCCGATGACCCAGTCGATAGGCTCATCGCTCTGTTGGGAGAAGTTGCCCAACGTATTGACATCAAGACGGTGAAAATGTCAAAAATCAACTCGGACTTATTCTACAACTGCAGGATCAAATACTACAATGCCGCCAGGGAGCTATGCGAGCACTTTGCAAAGGATCTTCTCGAGCGACTACCACCAATGTGGGACAACACACCGTATAAGGCTTGGCTCGAGGACGTTGTCGAGAATGGACGCCCTGCTCCAGTGGAATTCGTGGTGGAGGATATTCCTCAATATTTAACTCGTCGGACCCGGCGGCAAACACATATAAGTCGCTTGTCCAGCGCTCTCGGGCCTACCCCTAGTGTTGAAGCCGAGTCAAAGGATGAAGTCCGGGCTGGAAAGCAACCTCGGGTAGGCCGTCCATCCGGCAAGGTGGCAACCCTACGTGTGGCAGGCTCCAAGCGACTCGCATCCGATATGATTGATGAAGACGATATGCCGCCCAGGCGCGGACGAAAAGCCCTAAAACGAACAGTCAGGGTGGAGGAAGACGAGGAAAGTGACGCAAACAGCGTCGTCATTGATATAGCTGATGACACGGGCGTCATACCGAAAGATGCAGTCCGAATAGTAGTCCAGGCCGAGCGCCTCCCGACCATGTCACCGGCCGGTCCTAACGGGACCTGGACGTGCGATCAGGAAGGATGCAACTACGTGGTCCGGTCGGCGGACGAGCCCGAGGGCCAGGATCTCATCTCGAAGCACTTCAAGGACCACGAGGAGCAGGCGCAGAAGATCAACTTGGCCATGGAGGAAAGTAAGGCCGGACATTTGCCTATCAAGTATGACTTTACTTTATTGTCTCATCCTCCACGTTGATTGTCGTCAATGACCAGTTATTCTAACTAGGCAGTCATAGTCATCTCCTCGATAAAATCCAGGCGATGGGGAAGAATGCCCTGGCTAAGAAACGGGGTTCGCTGAACGGGGAACCGCTGCCACTCCCGATCAAACGTCGGTTGTTGATTTAAGTCGACAAAATCGACTGGCCTTCCTGCATGATTGCTCTCGCGGCCTCCATGAACCGATCTCGCTATGTGGGGAGCAATCGCCTCGGACTTACAATGGCGGCTCGGAAAGGTCATCACCGGTAGTTGATTGATTCCAAACTGTACCACATATAATGTACTTGGCTTTGGATGGTGGCCAAGCTTAAATGGGATTTGGGATATCTGCGAATTAAGGTGTTTTGGAGTTCATGGAGATTCAGGTTATACGGAGGCTTGGTTCGTTGTTGCCAGGTAGAGCATCTTTATGGAGCCAAAAGGGACTATGGCTACAACAAGTGCTGATTAATCTCTCATATTGCTTTGTGCTTGGGCAGGTCTACCTGCTGGCTGGCTGTGTACATATACTCATGAAGAGTTCAGGCGTTGCTCTCAAGAGCTCAACGACGGCGAAGACTACCGGTGTTGTTTGGACCAGCGTGGATCATCTCGGGAAGTGTTCCTGTTTCCACTTCATCCCCAAGCATCCATTCATCTTCCTCTACTCGACAATTGGTATAATTGCTCCTGTTTATTCGCTAGCTAAAAAAGATCGAATCGCTTGCCGACCAGTAAACCAGTAAAGCCAACGCTACGCTTTGCCCAGCCTGTCTTCCTGTATACACCTGTTCCACCTCCTCCCTCCTCAACTCTCCTCTCCTCTATCGCATCCTAGGATTACTAGGCAACCCCATCCGCCCTCCTCCAGGCGGCAGTCTAGGTCCGCTCGGCAATCCCACATTTCCATGTCCACCATCATAGCCCCCTCCCCCCCCTCCTCCTCCTACAGACCCTGTCCTCTGCTGGGAAGCAGCAGCGGGCGGCGCAAACGGCCCAGTCCCACCCGAGTTTCCAGGACTAGTCGTCCTCGACCCGCCCCAAAGCCTCTGCTTCAATTTGTCCTGCGCACTAATCCCACTGCTCCCACTGTGCTGCGCAGGCATCGACGCCACGCTACTAGCTGCTCCGCCTCCTGCTGCGGAGCCGTAGGGCCCCGATTGTTGATGGCCGTAACCCCCATTGCTGCTGGTGCTGCCGGCTCTTAGACTCTGCGGCGGCACCCCTCCTCCTGCTTGATGCTGTCCTCCTGCTTGATACCCACCACCATGATGGCCGGGGGCGGCGTTGACAGGTGACGAAGCAGCTGAGGAAGCGGCGCCGCGGGCGAAAGGGTTTCGACTTTGCGCCGCACTTCCCTGTTGCGCTCCTGCTCCTGCTCCTGCTCCTCCTCCCCGGCCGCCACCGTTGTTATTGTCCCATAGACTGCTTAACTGTTGTTGCCCCTGACCGCCATAACCGTTATATCTCTGTTGTTGTCCTTGCTGCTGCTGCTGTTGTTGTTGGACAGGAGGAGGAGCCTTGGGGTCGGGAGGTAGCCAGGAAGGAAAGTGTTGACCCTTTTCGATGTAGTAGGCGCGCAGGACGCGGCAGACGTGGGTGTCGTCTTCGGTGTCGCCGTCGGCTTCGCCCGAGAAGTAGGTGCGTTGGAGCTTGGTGATGTTGTTGGAGAGGTTGGAGTACCAGGAGGACATCTTGGTTGTTGTTGTTGTTGCCTTTGTTGGTCGGGATGTTGTTTGTTGTTCCGGATTTCCTATTGTGTAACGGGTGTTCTTGTGGATGGGTTACGTTCGGTTGGTGTAATTAGATATTTGGTGTCTAGGTTTATCGTGTGATGTTGGAAAGTCAAAGCAAGGTAGGTTTGGTTCTGTCGGTGACGAGGTGCTACGACCAGCAAGCACCCCTTGATCGGATCGCGAGATCGGGCGGTGGGAAGCTCCCTTCAGGTGGTTGTTGCGGGTAAGCGTATTTTTGCAATTAGCCGCGGTGTGCCGGCCAGGTACAAACTTGTGTGTTGTTTGGTTGGGAATTGAAGGTTTAGTGTATTGGTGTCCCTCGATATACGAAGGAAACAAAAAGTTCCCAAAGTTCCTTGTTTTCGTGGCCTTCTTTGAATGTGGAAGGTAAATTGATGGATTGATCGCCAGGAGAGATGCGAAAGGCGGCGTGGGTTCCAAGGGGCGTTTCATCACTGCGCGACCGTTACCTCCTGTCCTGAAGAGCCACTGCCCCACCTATAAATCACATACCAACCTTGACTTTACAGGGCCGCATGGCGAGCCTGTGACCCGCAGGGGGGGTAGAGGTAGTCCAGTGGTAATGCATGCACTTTTGCTCCTCGCATATCACAACCGCGAAGTACCTAGGTAGTTCTCCAGATTGAACAGACTTAAACATGAAAAGAGCTCTTATTCTACGAGCCATGTAATCATTACATGACAGAATGTCAAGACCGGTGACCAATCTGCCAGATGCCAAGGTATCATCATCTAGTACATCAACAACAACCACGATAACAAATCTCCCACGTCCCTCTTTTAGAAAGCAAGCAACTTCTCCCTGTCCGTCTCGTGCTCCACCTCGATCTCCTTCTTTTTCCGTGCCTTCATCTTGGTGACCTTTCCTCTCTTCCTCTTGTCGCCAGCCTTTGTCTTCTTCTTGGTATCCTCCTCGCTGTCGCCCTCATCGTCGTCATCATCATCCTCGTCATCGTCGTCCTCCGCATCATCCTCGTCGTCGCTGCCGAGCCAGTCCTCGATATCGTTGAGCTCGTCGTCGGTCTCCTCAAAGTCAGACACGTATTCGACATTGCCGTCCTCGATCTCCTCCTCGAGCTCTTCCTCCTCCTCATCCTCCTCATCCTCGTCCTCGATGCCCTCATCCAGATCCTTGTCGCGGGTACCCTCGCCCTCCTTCTCAAGACCCTGCAGCACCTTCTTCCAGACAGACTCGGAGCAGTTGAGGGGCTGGTCGCCGTACATTCCTTGCCTGAGACGTTCCAGCAGCTCTCTCTCGATCGTCCTCTCCAGCTTGGCGGCAATTAGGGCCTTGCGCTCTCTGGCCTCTTCGCGGTGCTTGACCTTGGGCGCCATCTTGGGCACCAGCTTCTCGCCGAGACGGTCTTCCTCGGCGGCGAGTTTGCGCATGCGGGTCGCGACTTGTACGAGACGGGTGAGGCGCTGCTTGCACTTGTGGAGGAGGAATTTGGGGAAGTATTGGAGGCGGTCCTCTATTTGCTGGAGGGCTTCGGCGTAGTTTTGCGACAGCTTGATCTTCTCCCACCATTTGGAGGGCATGTGGGCTCTCTCAATCTATAAGCAAAGGGGAGGGTGTGTTAGCTAGCTGGTCCCGGGGATCTGGTAGGTTCGTCACAAGGAGCGGATACGCACGGTCTTGATGTAAAGGTATATTGTGCCCTTGGGCGAGGTTCTGACGGTCGCATAACGGCTGTTGGCTAGGGGGCAGCTCTGCCTGTTGCAGAAGCCGCTGACGTTGTACTCATTTCTGCAAAAGTTGTTGCCCTTGGTTGTCTTGAGTTTGAAAGCACAGAACTGCTCTGTAGGGTCGAAGGTTAGCGACACTGCGGGGCAGGCAGGCCTTTTAACTTTCGAGAGACTGCGACATACGGTTGATGATCTGCCAGACGATTTCGTCAGACATGTTGACTGTAGTCGATCTAGCCGCCTTCTAATTGTCGGGGTATCTTCGAATTGGCGTTGTGGTGAAAAAGAAAGGTCAACTTCTCAAAGAAGGGAGCAAGAGCAGGTCGTGTGTACGAGGAGATGGAGAAAGACACAGGCGTGGCTGCGGTTGCCCGATAAAAATTTAGAAATGGATCTTTCTGAACTTTTGATGCGGTTGATGTGGTCCGTGCAATCGCTGGACATCCCAGCAGCTTTGGGGTTACAGCCAATCATCTTACAGCGATACCTTGAGAGTGGCTGCTCAAAGGTCTTGGCACTCGCTCGTGTTGCAGGGGGGGCTGTTTATTCAAGCTGCCGTCGAAGGTTCACCAGGGCAGGGCATCTCTTTCTCAGTGACATCTCTCCGCTGAAGACATCACCTGTGTGAATTCATGTCTTTTGGTTGAGGTCAATGTTCCGCCATGCGCTAAGACGAGCTGCTATTCACCGACCGGGAGGCTTCCGAGTCACTTCTTGCGTTTTACAATCACGGCAGCAGCAGCCAACATCATGTCTTATCCGCATAGCAAGAAGCTATCATGAGTTTGGCCGTAGGGCGTCTGCCTTTGACGCCGTCTCTGGGGGTAAGGGTCAAGGTGGAAATCCTAGAGACTCAACTCTGCCCTTTCTCACCAACGACACCATCTATGCCCTCTCATCAGGGTCAGGAAGAGCTGGCATAGCCGTAATCCGTATTTCTGGACCCGGATGTCTTGATGTAAACAACCCCTCCCACACCAAACATTCTCACTCGCTCTCGACATGACTAACACCAAGCAAAGGTCTACAACTCACTATGTCCCACCAAACTCATTCCCAAACCCAGATACGCCGCCGTGCGCACCCTAACCGAGCCCTCCGAACCCGGTAAAGATGCCTCATTACCATCAGCAGCCAACACCAACAACGTCCTCGACACCGACGCTCTGGTCCTGTACTTCCCCGGTCCCAAGACCGTCACAGGCGAGGACGTCCTCGAGCTGCACGTGCATGGTGGCCCAGCCACCGTCAAGGCCGTTCTCTCCGCCATTCCCAAGTCCACTTCATCGAGTACCATCCGCTATGCCGAGCAAGGCGAGTTTACTAAGCGCGCCTTTCTCAACAACCGACTAGATCTCGCCCAAGTCGAAGCGCTCGGCGACACTCTCTCCGCAGAAACCGAGCAGCAGCGACGGGCCGCTATCCGCGGCACCTCGGGAGTGTTGGGCAAGACATACGAGTCCTGGCGTGAGCAACTACTCCTGGCCAGGGGCGAGATCGAAGCCCTGATCGACTTTAGCGAAGACCAGCACTTTGACGAGTCGCCTACCGAGCTGTTGAGGAACGTGACCCGTCTCGTCAAAGAGATTCTGCATTCCATCAAGCTGCACGAGATGGGCAGCCAGCGGAGTGAATTGCTTCGCAACGGCATCCGCATCGCCCTGCTCGGTCCGCCCAATGTGGGGAAGAGCAGCTTGATGAACTTGATCGTTGGAAGGGAGGCAAGTATCGTGTCTTCCGAGGCGGGAACGACCAGAGATATTGTCGAAGCTAGTTTGGATATTCGAGGGTATTTGTGTTCGTTCGCCGACACGGCGGGGATTCGCACCCGCTCGTCGCTTTTGCCTGCTGAAGAGAAAGAGGCGCCAATCGGCAAGATCGAAGAGGAGGGTATCCGTCGGGCACGACAGAAGGCTCTGGATTCTGATGTCATTATCGTCCTAGCTTCTGTCGAACCTCATCCCAACGGAATCGAAGGCTACCGCCTAAACTACGATCTATCAACCCTCGACCTCGCCTCATCCGCACCAGAATCTCTTTTGGTAATCAACAAATCCGAGACCGTCCCTCCCTCCGTCCTGGCTCAATTAATTCAGTCCTTCAAAACCGACGTCCTCTCCACTGCTCTTCCTGAAGACTCTCCCCTCAGATCCCAAGACCCGATTTTGATCTCCTGCCGAACCGCCGAGCAACGCTCCGGGGGCGTTGACGACACAGACCCAGGCAAAATTCACCACCTAATTTCCCGCCTCTCCACTTCCTTCGCTGAACTGACTGCCATTCCGCAAGACATGGAGCACTTGCTGGGCGTCACGGCGAGGCAGAATGAGTTGCTTGGGCAATGTAGAGATGCGCTGGACGATTTTATGGCTGAGGCGAACCCGAACCCGCTTATTGTCGAAGGGGTTCCTACAGAAGAGGAAGTGGAAGCGGATATTGTGCTGGCAGCGGAACACTTGAGGGTGGCGGCGGGGAGGTTGGCTGCCATCACGGGGAAGGGAGAGGCGGGGGATGTGGAGGAGGTGTTGGGGGTTATTTTTGAAAAGTTTTGTGTTGGAAAGTAGGCTGACGGTGGGAGTTGGGTAGAACGGATGGTGGTGGGATCAGGACAGTGTATAACCGAGTTGTCATTTTTATTGAAATGAAGAATAATATATGCTGAAGTCTATCCGTCTCTATAGCCTGTTTTTCCTTCCTCTCTATGACTGCCATTATATCCTCCAAGCTGTTTGCATGAGTCCTACGAGGACTGTAAAGTCTAGTCTATGACAGGTTAAAGAAGATGAAGGGAAAAAGGACTTGGAAAAGCTGAAGTAAAACAGAGGGAAGAAGAATCCAAACCCAAAAACCATGCACCCCTTGAATAGGTGAACCGCTTTGCTTCATCAGCATCGTATCCAACACCGCCACTACCCAAATATAAAATTCCCGCCAAACAGAAAACCCCTTGAACTCCCCAACCAATGCTTTACCATAAGAAACAGCCTCCCCTTCCGTCTTTCCTCCGTATGCCCAGAAAAAAAGATGCCTCTATCAGAACACCCCACCCAAAACTTCAATAAACTCCCAAAGATGCAATTAGAAGGTCCCGTTGCCGGTATTGTTCTTGTACAAGTATCAAAACAGATTGTGCGAATATGTGAAGAAGAAAAATCAGAAGTGTTCAGATTTACTTCTGTTCCTCATCATCGCCATCATCGCCCCTGGAAAGTGAGTCTTGGTTAGTCATCGTCCATCTCAGAATCAAGTTGTGATTGTAACTTGGGTTACTCACTTGTTGTAGCCAGAGCGGCCAAAGTTGCGGAACTTGTTCTCCTCGTCGTCATCACCGTCCTTGTTGTAGCCGGAACGACCAAAGTTGATGAGGTTCTTGTCTTTCTCCTCATCGTCGCCGTCCTTGTTGTAGCCAGAGCGGCCGTAGGCGACGGGGCAGCGGGTAGTGGAGGATCCCATGACAGCCATTGTAGTAGATTATCTTGTGTGTGTGTGTGGTGAAAGTGGGTTGTGTTGTAGATAGATGAAATAAGGGCGAGAGTAAAGAGTGTCTATATATTAGCTTGAAGCTTTGAAAGGTTGTTGGAAGCTGGTATGGTGATGATATATGTCTTGAAGGCCAATGTTGGTGATTGATGCTGAAGCTGATGCTGAGAAGAAACAACCTCATAAATCGGGCACATCCAAGGTCTTAAATAGGGCAATAGGAAACACCGAGAAACAGGCAACTGCGTTTTGGCTCGAGGCCAGCTTGAGGCCATTCCCGGAGTAAGCCATCTCGGCTAGGAAGCACCTTGGGGGTTACTGGGCCCCCAAGCGCCGCAGCGGTCCGCGGTGTCTACGCATGACATAAGGAAATGGATCTGAGGTCCGTCATCAAGCATGCCTACGCCCGGTGTATGGGGGTTGACTGGTGCGTTTCTGAGCAAGACCATGTTGTATCGTCAATCTTGTGGTACGGGGTTAGTAGTCACAGCCCCCCCCCCCCCCCCCGAACGGTGTCTAGGAAATAGAACCTCGTAGTTTAGGCTTCCATGTGTCAAGGGGTACAAGCGAAGGCACCCAGATTTGATCCAGGAGAAAGGCTCTAAGCGAAGTAGATCCGCTCTTGCAAGTATGTACCTAAGTAGTCCCACAAGGCTGTTCAGGGCCTCGTCCAAGTGTCGTCTCTTTTGGCCTGTGTTCACTGGATGTTGTACAAATTCGGTCAGAGTATCGCTAATAGTAGATACGAACCGAGAAGAACCCCCCCCTAGCCAAGGCTTCAAGGCTTCCATTTGGGGTTGTCAGAGCTGAAGGGCAGGCGGCCGCGATGTAACGGGAAGACTGAATGACGCTACAGTAACTGTAGGGCTGAGTCCACGATACACAAGTGCTGCGAGGATTTTGATAGGCCCCTGAGACGCCGAGTCCAGCGAATTGAGCGATGTGACTCGGTAGACATTGATGTTGTTCACTCCACCAGACCGCGCCGTCGGGTAACGTCCACACATGGCTTCTTTCCGTGTTGCTTACAACGCAGTCGAGCATCAGACTTCTTTCTGGTGGTCCTTTGTTAGGAACGGTGGCTATGTGGATGCATTTGGCGGCTTCCAACCAAGTCGTCACGCCGAAATGTGTGGGTGCTACAGTCATCGTTCAAACATGGGTGCCGTACAAAGCCGCTCTTTGCCTGTCAGCGGCATGGACTATTGATGTGTATGTACCTGGACCCTGAGATTGGGGTGTTCTTCGGCGGTACTTTTGTTTGAAGATAGCATCAATGGCATTGGCAGGATTTCGGTTCGAGCTCTCAATGGTCCGGAGAAGACGATGCTTCCCTATCAACTGCCAATTGGGGATTATGCAAGCATCAAGATGCCGGATTCCCAGATAGGACTTGTTCCACTTGAATGGCCTAAAGTCCGAACCTCAACGGCCGCTCTCCTGCCACCAGACATCTTCCAGAAGGATGTTGAAAAGGGTGATTGGATCCCAGTTGCGTGGATGGATGAGACGCTAGAACACGCCTTCCGCAGCTTCCGTCTGCTTCTTTTGTGCCTCTGCTTTGCAGTTCTCTGCCACCTCCTTCTCATCACCAACTTGTCACCTGCCGGTTGAAGAAAGAAGGCACTTAGCACCACGCACACCGAGTCACCAAGTAGCAACTCGAATACCCTTGGCTAGTAGACGGCTGACCGAGGATAATTCTCGTGTATGTACTGTATGTACGTATGTATGTTGATGACGAGATTGCGGCACTCGAGTGGCCTCTGCCGCTGGGGAACTGACCGCGGCGGCGCATTCGGCAGGTGTTGCCGGTTGCTTACGGCGTACAAACCTAGAAGAGTTCAAATTGTTCGGTGTTTCGTTGAAAAGAAATCTGAAGCCGCCTGACAGGAGCCGCCGGCGTTTGTGGGGGTCACCAAAGGTAGGTACCTAACGGCACCCGACGGACTTCAACCCCCGGCCCGTCCCCCCGGTGCGGGGCACTACATACTGTACCTACGTCAACATGAACTCCGTTTCCCTCTCCGTGCCTCCGGCATCCCCGGAGTATACCTCTATCAATACATGAGTTGACTCAATGTGGTCAACTAATGCGCCTGTGCGTGGTAGGCTTCCATTTCGCCCTCAAAATAGGTGTTAAAGCCACCGAGTCAGAGATGGACATCACTGCCGAGCACTGCCCCCTTTCCAATTGCAACCTTCCACTTCGTTCTGTTTGGCGCCTGCACTAACAATTTTCGTTCCAGTCTTTCCCTTGCTTAGGAGAACAACTTTCACTCCCGCAACAACATATTAACCCTGTATCTCGGACTTTGCTAGACTGCAGTGATCTCATTCCACCCTGAACATCTACATTCGGGGTAGCACAAGCCAAAGTGGCATTCTCGGAAGAGATGAGGTGCATTCCCAGGCTACACAGCATTTAACAAGACCGAGGTGTGGGGGTCTCTTTGAGGTTCGAATAGGCGTCGGTTGAATAATCAAACACATGACACAAAGCTGTCTGCAAGAGATCTTTTTCTTTCATTCTTAATCAGCAAAGTCCTGCCACATCTGACAAGCGTCAAAGAGACTTGACAGCATTTTCACCGCAACTTCAATTCACCACATAGACTCCAAAGGTCTTTCTCCCTTCCATTGCGGCCCCCCCTTCCAGCCCAACCAGGCCACTCCAATACGGTTGGCTGCCTGGCCCTACACCCGAGATGTGATGACGGCACTCCCCTTTTCTTACTCAGTATTGAGCGGCTCTGCTAATTCCAAGTCTTAGCTCGGGAAGGATGCAATAACAAAACCCATTTGCCGACCCTCTCCCGCGAATGTCATGCAGCCCTGCGGAAAGAAGAAGCACGTGGGGTGGGAAGTCATGTCATCAGCACAGTAGCCCAAGATTTAGCCCCAAAGTTGGGGGGCCTTCAGATGCCATTCTCGACGGAGATGCCGCTGCATGTCATGCTCTATAGCCTTATCCCGCTCAAGTGAAGCACGGGTAAACAGCCAAGTCGTCATGGATGGTGCTGTGAAGCGTTATGTTCAGGGGAAGCTGGTCGTTTCTTGGGCGTTGAAGCTCACAGAGAGAATAGCCATCCCGCTGTTATTTGAGCCTAGGTCTGAAACTAGATCACAAGGTCTGAGTCTCAGATGGTCCAAGTGCTGGTGCTCATTCTCCCCTAGATCTCAGGGTACAATTTGCCTACAGGAACTTTGAGAGATATATGACTGTCTTCTTCACAGGGCTAGGTGCTGTTACCCAGGCAAGGGTATACAAGTTAATCACTCTTTCTGCAAAGAGGCGACAGGGCGCGTTGAAAAATCCTGAGGACGGTCAATGACTCTAGTCACGGCACATATAGATTCAGCCGGTGTGGATGAATACCGTAAGACTGAATATGGAATCAGTTTCAAAGTTACTTTTTGGGTCTTGAAGCGGTTGGTAAAAACAGATGGCTGGCAGTACCAGACATTGACCGCAAAGGAGTGATTAACACAGGCTTTGATGGACTTACATAACGAAAGGACATGAAGCATTCTTCACTGGGATAATATGGTCAGGAAAGGCTATCCGTCAACTTTGGGATAGTACTCGAGTGACATCTGGCCTCCCAACATGTGGAAAGAAGCATGAGATAGCTCCTTCCTTTCCTAAGAAAACTACCACATCTGGTTTCTAGATTTCCGAGTTAACTAGCACGTGCCAAGTCACTTGATTACGTGTTGAACGTGTCCCTCCAGTGCGACTTAACCCAACTCTGGCGTTGAAACCATATTTTCGTCCCAGTCATCCATTCTGTTTAGCGAATCCCAAAGTCCCAAAACACCGATCGATAGATTCCATGAGCTTCTGACACACCTTGAATGAAGGTAAGTTGCAGACGTAAAGTTCTTCTCACATTGAAAAGTTATCGCATCATCTGATAATCTGAACTAGTCGGCACGCTTTTGTTAGCTGTCAACAATGAATAGCTCCCCCTCCGACCGACCTCCAACAAGACGAACGAGAATAGTTTGCATCAGCGACACCCACAATTGCACAATTAAACTACCCAAGGGTGACGTTCTTATCCATGCAGGTGACTTGACAAATCAAGGTAGTCTTTCAGAGGTAATAATTACCATGTTCTTCCCAAGCTGACCTTACAAACATTTGGCAAATTTGTCACTCATTTCGCCAAACTGACACCCATAACAAACAGCTCACCAAAGCAATTCAATGGCTAGAAAAAGCCGACTTTGAAGCCAAGGTCGTCATTGCTGGTATGTCTCTTATCAGTCCTCACTCTCAGTTACCCCTAGCTAGCCAAAGAAACGGACACTCACCTTTGTTCACTCAACAGGAAACCACGACAAGGCCCTGGACCCGGCTTCATCTTCCGATTCTTCCCAGCACCAAGCCATCTCTCCAGTAATCTGCCACTTCCATAACCTATCCCTCCCCAACCCAGAAGAGTGTCTATCTCTCTTTGGGGCTCACGGCCCATCAATCACCTATCTCCGCCATGAGTCTGCTGAGGTCAAGCTCACGCACCCAAAGGGGCCGAGGACAAAGTTCAAAGTATTTGGAAGCCCTGGGACTCCTGGACTTGGAGAGAAGTGGGCGTTTGGGTATGAGAGGGATGTGAACGATCCGAATTGTGCGAGAAATCCACACCAAGAAAATGGAGGCGGCAGGGCAGACGCCACGGAGATGAAGTCTGGTAGTCAATCCAATCCTGAAAAGGAAACCGGCAGATCTGACCCACAATCACACTTCTCGCCCATTTCAAATTCCATCTCTGCCAAAGAAATTTGGTCCTCCATCCCTCCAGATACGGACATCCTCGTGACACATACGCCTCCTTACGGACACTACGACCTTGGTGTCGTCCGCGGGTCAGACGGGTCAGACGATGGTCCCTCGCCCACAAGAACTGGAGAGACGGGAGAACAAGAAGCAGAAACAAGAACAGAGACAGACCGACATCTAGGCTGCCACTCCCTCCTGCAACGCTTATCAGTCGTTCGACCAAGACTGCACGTCTGTGGGCATGTACATCGCGCGAGGGGGGCTGAAAGGGTTCGGTGGTCACCAGTCTCGTCTCCTTCCGCTTCTGTTTCAATGGGAATGGAAGATGATTGTGAAATAGGATGGATAGAGTCCATAACAGAGAAATGGACGGATCCAAGCCCGGATCCAAAGTCAGGGAAGATCAGTTTGGTTGACCTGACGGGTCGCGGTCGTGAGGAAGGAAGCGGAAAATTAGACTGGGTTGACGTTGACACCGTGATTGGTAAGTCAACAGGAGGAAGAGAAGGACGAAAGGAAACGTGTGTGGTTAACTGCGCGATTTTGGCGAGCAATTATCCTCATGTGGGAGGAAAGAGGTTTCACAAGCCGGTGGTTGTGGATTTGGAGTTACCGGTTTGTGAGGAGAGTCAAGAATGTTAGGAGATACTGGATAGAAAAAGAGAGTTGGAAGAGTTGCGGTTAGAACGACTAGGAAATTACAGTAGCTTCTGTAGTCGTTGAAAAGTAAAATTGCCGAGACTGAAGGATTGAGACAAGAGAGTCCCAAAGGAAGGTACGACATTGTGACTATCTCGAACCGGGGAGGTACGACTACAGACTTGCTCCAAAGATTTAGATGTCGTAACCAGAAGATAGGAAACATAGCGGAGAGGGAGGTATAACCCGGCATCACTACCTAGAAACTCGCTCTTTCCTAGATAATCATGTCATGTGTGAGAGAGGTCCAGTCCTTGGGCAGAGACGAATGTTCAGACGACAGAGCTGAAGGCAGACACTCAATCTCGTATCTCAACTGGAGGGATATACGACAACAATATTCAGAAAGGTAAACATACCTAAGCTTGAAGCAGAGAAAACTGAGATCAATGATTGTCAGATCCCATAAAGCTCACAGTCTTTGCCGGTGTCCGGAAATCTTGTTAACAGCTACTACAACGGAAGAAAGGCATTGGGGGCTAATGCAAGGTTTCAACAAAACATCGTAACTCAACAAGCATTATTCCCATAACGGGAAGAAACCCAGGTAATTGTGACTACATGATACATAAGCTTCCATCATCATCTACTAATGAAGACGGTCCTACTACCTTTTTACTTCGTTCAAGCTCACCATAATCGTTATGTCGTCCAGGACCACGAACACAAAGTAAAGAGATTTCAAGCAGGTACTGGGAGCCTTTTCTGTTTCCCTTCTCTTTCTGACTTGGGTCAGATATTCTGAAGGTTTCTTACCAATTCTGCTCGAGCGAAGCTCCTATACGGGACGACGTTTCCTATGCGAGGAGTCTCTTTCGTAACTCTCAGGTTTGTCTGAATGACCATCTTCATAAAACCTCCCTTCTTGTGGCCTGCTCCATCGACTAATAACTAGATTGACAACCCAAAAGCGGCACTCGACTACCCTCTACAGAATCTCTCAGACAGGACCTGGTCCAATGACCCGAACATCCGGCTCTGATTATTTTTCCTTGTATTTGATCCCGTACCGTAGACCAACAAGTCTAAAAGTGTAGTTCAACAGGGACCCAACCTATATTCCACTATCGTATCTGTCCAGTTTCTTTCGGGTCTGAACACAGAAGAAACTCCGAAAGTAACATACCCTTCCATTTTCTAACCCAAACTATCGACTCCCTACGTCTTCTCCTCTTCTCTTAAACGTGACCGCCTTCCCATATGAACCCACTTCGTCAATCTTTTTCACATGCTCAACTGGTTACATCCATCTGTCTCTTCCGCTCTTCCGCTTTTCCGTTCCGTCCCTGAGTCCCGACAAGAAGGATGTCACCGCCTACCCTAAACTCAACCCCTGGATCTCCCCATCTAGCCCTTAGTAAGCTAGTTTTGCGTATACTATGCATAAGCCTCCACCGGTTACTCAATTGACTTCATTGCAGCCATCCCCATCCCCGCCCCCATCGACGGAACCATCCCACCTCCCTACCCGCCACCACCCGCAACTATGTCCCCAAAAGGCGACTCAAAACCCATTCAGTTGGTTCAGCCCTCAAGATCTCCCGTAGGCAGTCCCATCCAGTATCCACCCAGGGTCCCATCGGGGAATTGACCTATCAAAGCTCAGGTTCCAAGTCTTAACCTAACCCAATCGAACTGAATGTGGATAAGCATCAACGGTTCTGATCACTGTCGTCGTGCCACGATTGCTTTTTTTTTTGCCAAGTACCGTTTTAGCTATCGCGTCAGCCCGGACTAACACGCTGAGTTCCTGACTACGCCAACAGCGAAGCTGAACTTGTTTAGTCTAGGAAGATCACGGATCGGGCAAGCCGAAAACCACACCGTCAACTTCTCGACTTCGGTGTAGAAGCGAGGGAGAAGGTCTCCGCGTCTTCTGGGGCCTATCATAGGCTTTGGGGCGGGAGCTTAGTTCGGGTGTTTAAATGCCGGTCACGAGGTGCAGGTACCTGACGAGTATTAGCTTTGTAAGTTTGACAATCTGACTGACAAATCGGCCGTCGGTCGGTCGGTCGGTCGGTCGGTCGGTCGGTCAGTCAATGTTGGGGTAGATGTGAGTACCATCTTCGGGCCTGTTTGGATAAGATCCTAGATCGGTATCCTTACTCGTTGCTATCACGTAGCCTTCGTTATCTGCTTCAATCTCCTCGGTCACAGTTTCCAACCATGAATAATCGAGAGGATAGGATAGGATATCTACGTACCCAGACCGCTTTCTTTGCCTCACTTCATCTTACCTACTTTCCTTGACCGTTCCACCCACATGGCACCCGTTTTGAGCTGCTCATGTCGTGACACGAACGGCGGCCCCCGTTTTTTCGGGCTATGCCATCATAGCACGCACCTTGGCTTTGACAGTCCGACAGGTTGCCAGTTGATCCCTTTGGCCTAGCTTTGTGGGTTTGATGGGGGCCCGCCGTAGAAGAGTCAACACGTGTCAGGCCTCACAGGTCGGGTTGGACCTATCACCGCCCGCTATGCATTTCTCTTATTCTCCCTCCAGTTCGAGGATGTCAAGCTTTTGCGCTAAATGGCCGAACGTTTCGGGTAGTCGATCCGGGGTCGAAGGCGGAGACCACACCAGATGGCTTGGGATGTGAGACGGATCGAGTCCCGAGCGGTCTGCCTCGGAAAGCCACTGATGGACAACGCCGGAAACTGAACCCGGGTCGAACCTACGAACCATATGGCTGGTAGCTTGAGCACTCCCAACCTCTGTCATTAGCACGCGACAGCAATTTCGTTGATCCGTTGTCAGTGTCTGTTGATCGTCGACATAGGATCATCGCGGGCTCGTTGCAAACAAAGCCGGCCGTTTCCACCTGCCTACACTAACGTGTAGGCGACATTTCCGTAACGCTGATGAAGTCATACCAGGAGGTTGCCATGTGGGATTTGCGGGCGAACCGGCACTTTGGGAGGTCTTGGGTCTCCATCTTATGGTACAATATGGCGGTTTGACACACGCGGTGAGTTGGGTATGTCTCCATTGCCATGCGGATTTCGTCGGCAAATTTGTTGATGTAATTGGCTTTTGGCTTACTGATCTGCAAGATGGGCTTGAGCTAGGTTTCAGAATATGACAGCTCATCCCGTTTGCTAGGAAACTTTCAACAATCTTTCTCAGGGTCCAGATTCGCATGGGCAGTCTGAAAAACGATGCTACCATCCAGCTGGATAGATGGTTTCGGTTGTCGGTCGGATAAATGTCCAAGTTGGGGTCAAATCCACCACCCAAAGTCTGTCATGCAAGAGGCGACTTCTGCGGTGTGTTCTTCCATCACACGCCTAGATGCGAGCTGTGTATGCGAACGATGTGAGTGAGAATTGTGCGTGTGTATCTCCGAATTCGCCATGTACGGAGACCCTCGAGGTTTTGTTTTGAACCCCTTGACGGAACAAATGGCGGCCCGCTCCGATTGCACCACGGAATGCTGTCCGCTATGTCGATCCCCTAGCCTTCTTCTGGCTGATATTCCCCAATCAGCTGGGTCTCTTCAACGCCCGAAGGGTTTGGAGGCTCAGGCATAATGGTCACTGACCACGTTATGATTTGCTGAAGCCTTTCCTCCAAAATGTTGTGGCGATTGTGCAGTTTGCCTTATGACCCCGGTCAGGTTTGTAGGAGTGCTCTCTGAAGTAGAAGCGCACAGCATTATAGATAGGAAAGCAAAGAAACGAAATGTTGATCAGGGTGCACGCGACGAATGCCAGTCAACCAGCCCAGTTCGAAGATGGCCAAAAAGAAAAAAGAAAAAAAAAGAAAAGGGTAAAGGGACAAGCAGATGCCTGCCGAGGAGGTTTGGGGTATGCACAACATGTAATTTCATCACCTGGGAGAAAATCGGAGCACGAGTTCATCGGGAAGCGGCTCTAGAAGCCCTCGTGTCCAATCAGCCTGACGCTTCTGCCCCCCGCTACTTGACATATTTGGCTTCGAGGATCCTCACTCGAGGAGTTCGAGTACATAGTGTACGGGGGAAGTGTGCTGCGCATCTGTGACGGCATGCAGGTTGCACGGCTGCGACCGGCCGACATACGAACGGAGCACCTATCATAGGGTTTGCAGCAGATAAAACAAACCTCCTGGTCTCTCCTTACACGCTTCCATGATCTAGCAATTGGTGATAAGCAAGACAATCCAGGATGGAACGGCTTCGACGAGTCTCATCATAAAGTCGATGTCGAGCTTGTGCTTGTTCTGCTCAGGATCAGAGATTCTTTCGAGGTCTCTCCAAGGGTATCCGTCCGATCGTGGGAACACAGAGTGCTAAGAGCAGACGTTGGCACAACAGTCTTCCCAATTTGTCAAGAGCTCACGATATGAGGTATGCAGTTAGAACACCAGAAGCAGCATATCGTAAGCTCACCGCCACCACGGGGATGGGTGGTTACAATATCCTTTCGGCGGTCTGGGATTTGCATCTCATGTGCGGCTGCCCCGGCTTACACTCCCCTCCAGCTGCATTGCCAATGGTGCCCCAACGTACAGACATATAGCATCACCCACGGAAAAGGGATTCTGCGTGTGTACTGTGCGGGTGGTGTGACGCAACCTGGCCGGCATCGCATGGGGAAACCAACTGATGGGCATGAAAACGAACGACTGCTGTAAGGATCTCATCCGACGGCATGGCCCTGACCGCAAAACATGAACATGACGAAGGGGTACCGAGGCCAAGAGCTAATATCTTGGTGCTTTCCTGTTTGGCGGGGTAAAGTCGACAGTTGCTCGGAAGGAGAAAACGAGGGGTGGAGGGGCTTGATGTAACTCGAGTAGTACTCAGTGAGCGCGGCGTGGCTTGTGGCCGTTACCATGGTAGCAAGGCCAACGTCTAAAACAACTTGAATGTTGCCTGACAGATAGTCGGACTGCTCCTTCACGTAGGTGATCATCTTCGGTATTCGACGTCTAGGTCCACTTCAACCACGAGGCCATTTCCTCAGAGGAGAGAGACAAGGAGTTGGGTGATGTGTATCTTGTTCGCCGAGAACGCTGCAAAAGCCAGGTAAGAGACGCTATTTGCATGATGTGAGGCACGGGTATTGGCAGTAGACGAGACTCTGTAGCCAGTCGATGAACTGTGTTGAACCAACCCTCATTGGTTGTCAAATGGGGGAAGATGCAGTACTCCGACCGTCCCTGGAATCATGGCTTCTTCGGAAAGGCATTGGATGGAGTGACAACCTAAGGCTAACAGCAGACTGTCACAATGGACCTGTTGTATGTACTGTATGAGGCTGTACCTGCTTCTGGGTGTGTATCGTTTCGTAGGTGGGTATCGAGGGTAATGTTGGAATAGGAAAGGGAACCATGTGTCGCAATTGGATAAAAGACTGACCAGGTGTGGAAGATGACTGGTGTCACTTGAATGGTGCTGTCGCATGCCTGTGACCATTGGCGGATGGAAATATGACAAAAGTTGACGTTGGGAGAAATCGCTCCTGTGATGGCCCAATCAGCCAGTCAGAGTCTGCGACTGTCCTCCATGGAGAGGGCTGACGGGCATCTGAGAGGTCAAGCCAGCGTCTTAACCCAGCGACGACAGGACGAAGGGAACTGTTCGAAGGGAACTGTTCAGTTGCATGGGCACTCGGAGCGTCACAGCTCAACCCAAGAAAGAGCAGCATCGATCGAGGCCTCCTCCGAAATCCGGGGCTGTCGAGGGACTGTGCAGTTTCAAGCATAATCCAATATCTCCAGTTTGTAGGCCAGACGGGTACCGTACTTGCCCATACGAGTGCTGCCGGCAAAATGTTGGACGTTGGGCGTTTAAAGCGGCTATTGCCAAGTCGAGGAAAGAGCGCAGCGGAGACTGTGGTTGGATGGCGAATTGAAGGCGGTAACTTGACTCGGAAAGTGTTGACCTCATTGCACTGAAATATCTTGAAGCAGGCGCGCTTTTTCCCTGTTTAAGTACCTCTAGAGCATCATCAGGAGCTTAGTCTCCTGCCGTTTGTGATGCTAAGCCCGAGGGGAAAGTGACATGGATACCTCCTCCTACAGTCATCAATTCGTCCAAGTTTGCTTGACGACGATTTGACCTTTGACGGTTGATGCAATCTCAGCTCTCGAAAGAACCTATTGGTGACTGCCACACCATCCAGCGGTACGACGATTGTCAATACGCCTGCCCTGATGAGCAGACCTGATGAGCAAGATGAGACTGCTAATCCGGTAGCTTGCGCAGGAACAAACGCTTCTGCTGAGCTGTCAGAAGGTGTCTTGGGCCAAGATCAACTTCTTCAAGTCTGACTGGGGCGAGTCGGTGCTCTCGGCGTCCGGCGGCGGCGGCGGCGTCAAGTCCGTCCATTCAACACCATCATCAGCCCACACCGAGGCACCGGGCGATATTCCGATGGAATTGTGGTGTTTGGAACTTGGCACTCCCGTCTCAGCAATGGACTATTGAGCGAGTGGCACTCCGGGGTGCAAGCCCGTGGACGACCGACGCCGATCAGGGAGCGAGGCCGCCTGTCCGAGCGTCGAGACGTGGCTGGTGCTGTTTGACATGGCATTTTGATGGTCCATATTCCGGATATTATAGTCTCACATGCACCCAGGAGAAGGGGGCAACCTCATCTGGGCTGTCTTGACTGTCGCCTCAACAGCGATGGATGCTATTCCTGACATGACTGCCACACCTGCGCTGCTGATGAAGGTAGCACTATGCATCATTAGCGGCCGGCGGCCGGAAGAGAAGCTGAGAAAGAAGCCGACAGAAGTCGAGGGACGAACTGCGAGGGGACCTTCTCATTTGATGGCATAAGCCGGGGCCTGGCAAGGGAACCACAACAGGAAAAGCTCGGCATACAGCCAGCGTGCGTCCAGCCAGTAAGAGGCCGTCTCGATATGCTGGTCCACCGCATTTTCAGCACCTCCGCAGTCCGCATAGCCCTCTGGCTCCTCCAAGACCTCACGTCTGCTGCACATGCATGCCTTCTTCCCCTCACAGTGTTGGGGAGCATCGCGCGTCTGCCCAGTAGGAATTAGAAACTTGGAGTTGTATCTGTGCCTCTGGTGCAGAAGCGCGACATTGAACGACCCTACTGTGAGCCTGTTCACACCTGTCGAATCCCCGCAACTGACGCTATCGACAGCTTCACACACATGTCTGTGAAGTGTGTAGTCTAGGTATGAAAGTGAAGAAGAGCAAAGTAGACACAGGTATAGAATTATAGCAGAGGTACCTTTTTCTCCATCTGTCTTTATTTGGGCTGTCTCGGTATCTCAGGTCCGGTTCCATGCTCCCATCTCCCACTGGACTCGATAGTATCGCATCGATTGGGGCCCATCAAGATCCAGAGCAACGGGAATGTGCGCGTTACAAGTGGAAGTTCGTCCCAAGTCAGGACGAACACAAGGCGCACTACTAGACACCTCAATTTGCCAGTCGCGATATCTTGGCTGTTTACAGGTACTTACTTTACATTCCAGTGCGGACTGGAAGGGCAGTTACGGGAAAACAATTAATCAAGGAGCGCACCTGCCCGTCAACTTGAACCATCCATAGCACCACCAGTCCACGCACTCGACCCTGGCACGACATCAAAGCGAGTGCAGGTGACCTTGGCCTGGCCATCCTCGCCCTTTTCACCTTCCGCGCATACCGTACCTTGCTCAGTCCACCTCCTCCATCTTCTTCAGACTTTTAGTGTTTCCGACATTCGCTTCTCCGTTTTCTACTTCCAGTTCAGGTTGTGTTGCCGATCTATTGTCCGTTGCTGCTGGGATACCTACAATACCGACCAAGGGAATACCAGTCAGGGGGAGGTACCTAGCCTTGGTCTCTTTCCACCCGACCCACGTCACGCCTGTTTCCTGAGAACCTCAAGGTTATTGTCACTTCTCTTAGGTTGTGCTTCGTTGCTTTGGGATTACCTACCCTGCTCTCTTCACCTTCTGATCATATACTCCATACGCCCCGCACACACACACTACACCGAGGGACCCTTATACCTGGTCTTTAAAACGTTGATCACCGCCTTTGGTTGCACGACAAATCCAGTACCGGAAACAACAACACCACGAGCCCCACTCCGGTCGGCCAGTCTCCAGATCCCCGAGATCCCTTCCCCCCTAACGACCCTCCCCTGTGGTTCCCTTGGCCCTGCACGAGCACAGCTAGGCGCAACACTACAACCACTAGACAACGGCCCACCCTATAACCAGTCAGATCACGACGACCAGCACCTATACCTACCGCTACCGCCCCCCAGAAGCCGCCCTCCAACTTTCTTTCTACGCTTTTTTTCCCTTTCGCCTCAATTCCTATCTTTCCCTTCTCTGCGTCCACAGCCGCACCCGTTTTGCCCCTCCAACCGCGCGTCAGCCTCGCAATCCCTACCGCCCCATATTTCCACGCCTCCCAGCCCCAGGCACATATACAACTCTCCCTCGGGTTCCTACGACAATCCCACGTCGTTTCAATGCTTTAGTTGCCCTGTCTCGACGGACGCCTGGTGCCTTCTTGTCAAGCTACATATACTATACCTTTTCCGGCTCGCTTTTCGACAAGCTCTTACTTCAAACTTCAAACTCGAGTCAACCTACCTTATCGATTCTCATCATCATCACCATCACCACCATGTCTTCTCTTCCTCCCGACCCGTGGCAGGTCCTCGGCATCGCAAAGACGGCAGACAAGACTGAGATTCGGACAGCATACCGAAAATTAGTCCTCAAGTGCCATCCAGACAAGGTCCAAGATCCGACTCTAAAAGCTGAGAAGCAAGACGAGTTCCAAAAAGTCCAGCAAGCATATGAGCTTCTCAACAACGACGAAGAGCGGGCAAAGTATGAGCATCAGGTTCGAATGAGTGAACTCAACCAACAAAAGGCACGGGCTGCCTCAAAGAGCGCGGCTCATTCCCCAGCTGCTCGATCATCTCCCAGGCACAAGGAGTTCGCTTTCAGCAGTACGCCAGAGCGTGCCACGCACAGGACAACGACATCAACCAGGGAGAAGATGTACTTTCAGCCCTCGCGCTCTCACGAAGAAGTTCCTACTGCTCGCTTCGCCGACATGAACTTCAACGAAGAGAGACGGGCTCGCCGGGCAACTAGCTATGAGAAGCAACCAAGACCCGAGGACGAAAGGCCCTCAAGGCGCGAAGAGGAAAAGGCACCCAGACGTGAAGATGAAAGACCCGCGAGGCGCGAGGAGGAGAAGCCAGTGAGACGAGAAGAAGAGAAGTCGAAGGACAAGCGCAAGGATGAAGAGGAGAAGAAGGCAAGACGCCAGAGGGACTTGGCCAGGGAGTTGGAAGAAATGGCTGATTCCGGCCGCAAGGCGGAGAAGAAGAAGACGGACAGGGAACGGGAGAGACCCGAGAAGGAACGAAAATCGGAGGATAAATCCCGGCGGCACAAGGGTCCCTCAATTGAAGTCATGGAGGAGCCCGAGGAGCCTCCCAAGTCAGACAAGAAATCTGCAAAGTCTTCGAGTAAGAAATACACCGAGACTAAGGAGCGCGAACGAGATGGTTCCCGCTCCCGCGAATATGATTATGGGCGAGAAAAGTCGGCCTCTCGTCCCGCTGCCGGTTTTGTTGCCGATGACCCGCTGGAAAAGGCAAAGCTATACATCCAGAACAGGGGTACCAAAGTTCGAGACGGGGAACGAATGCCGAAGCTTGGGAGATCCCAAACCGACTTCTGGAGTTATAAGCCAGAAGTGCCCCGTCCGTCCCCCGCCGACTATGACGAAGAAGAAGTCCCGCGATCATCTGCTCGACCCCGTCGATGCTCCCATGAGACGCCAGCAAGGTCTAAGGAGGGCCCGAACATCATCCCTGTTTCGCCTCGCCTTGCTCCGACGAATTCTCGCCCTAATCCGATCAATGTCAAGGCTTCGAAGACTCATGCTGTCCCTTCGCCTCTGAATTCTCCTTCTCGCATGCAACGATCAGCAACAACCAATGATATACATTCCGGACATCAGTTTCATCCACCGCCCATGACACGGCACACTACTTGGGCTCCTAGCTCCGACCGACATTTCGATAAAGTCTACCATAACGACTCAGATGATGATTACGGACGCCATCATCGTTCACGTTATGCGGATTCCCCTTCTGATGGTGTTCGGTACAAAGCGGATGGGGGCAGAAGCTCGAGGCGCGACGAACCAACATATCCCCAGGCTTACTCGCGAGGAACTTCCGCCACACGAGCTCCTCCTGAAATGTACGGATCTGCACGCATGTACTCGACCTCGGGTATGAAGGTGAAAGAAGGCAAGACATTCACTACGACTGACGTGAAATACGCCGATATACCCTATCCTCATCGAGCCTATCCTTCAGTGCCTTCATACTAGAATTTGACTTGAGGCATTCTGAACCCGACAACTCTGTTTTTCTGTTTCTCTGGACTTCCAATTCTCTTCTTTCGGCAGGTGTTTTCAACGGCTTGCATTGATCGGGTCATCGGGGTACGGTGTTTGGTTTGGAGATCAATTGGTTAATTTTCTGCTTTTATACTACTCATATATGGGAAACGAAACCCGGTAAAGAGACAGTAACGACACGTCTATGTTTCGCACATCGCATGGTATGGGATTTATTGGGATACGATCTGGGCACGAGATAGAGGACTCAAAGCCATGGCAAGGAGAGGAAACGGGATGCGTGGGAACGCTCTGGGACTATGGTCAAGGACAGCATCGGGAAATGTAGCGCATGATGATGAAGCAATGGGAATTTTTATCTTGGGGTTCACTCGATTTTTTTTTTTTTTTTTGGTCTGAATTTTGGTTGTATCTAAGGCACGGGAATGACGACGTAACGTACCTCTTACAAACATACCAACGTTTTGGATACCCTAGACTTATACCATAAAGGAACCCTTTCACAACCACAATGTGGATCGGCATTCCAAACAGTGAAATATCGCATACTCAACTGCATAAGAATACGAAATAACAAGCGATGGACTGATGTACACGATCTTGGAACTTCTCACGATGATTTTCTCTTTTCACTTCTTTTCTTACCCATCGTTCACAGGCGTATCTTGTATCTCTTCATTATCTCCTCTTCTTGTCCATTATCGCTTACCTTGTGGGATAGCTGACCTCCTTCTTCTTCGCAGGGCACACGAAGACTCTCCACACGTGAAGACATTGCCATATTATTGCACTCGCCGACGCCATGAGAACGAAAACCTCAGTTGTTGTCATGGAAACGGTAATTTGTTATGGTTTCGTTAGAACAGCGATAGTCTCTACACATCAGCTGCAGATAATCCGAGGGCAAGCGTCGGTATATCTTGTGTCTGCTCATCAACGACCTAATGGCCTACCTACCCTAGATCCCGATTTTGTAACAATCAAACAGAGAAGTCTAGAAGCCTTGAAATGGAATGGGCAGTCTGCGACTCGGGTCACTTACGTAAGTCAGTAGTGTCCAAAAGGAAACAATATGAGGATATAGCTAGGTTCGCTTCCAGTCTTCGTTTCTTGTGCTCCAACCGTCCATTATGATTTCATCTCAACAGTTGAGGTAAGTAGTAAGCAGGTACTTAGACCGGTATCCAAGTGTACCTAACTTGTCACGCACCGTTCCCTGGATACATAAGGCACTTATACTTGACCTCTCATTCGGGTCGTAGGTGTGAAACACTACATATATACACTAGATGTATGTATGTATGTATAACGGGTATCTGTACTGTACTCTATGAAGACAGAACATTTTGCTCCTCCTTGTAATGCAACAAACCAGGCAAAGACAAAAGATAGAACACATCTTTACGTCGACTGACCACCGAACCAGTTCGCTTACAATTAATTGAATACCAGGCCGAGTTCCCGTCCATCTCCTGCTCCTCCGTTCTTGCTTATCAGACGCCGACGCCTCTTGTATATAATATGATATATGGTATAGTGTGGTATAGTATGGTACAATATGTGCTGTAATTGTGTCCGGAAAATTGACCGAGAGAAATGCAATGCAGGTCGAATTTGTTTATACCAAGACGTAAAGCGAGCAAATCTATTCACTCCAACCGTTAGTAATCTCCTTAATCTTCCACAATGGAAGGGCAAGGAAAGGAGGGGAACAACTCACCAAACTCAAACCCAAGATCATACTACACCAAAAGCAAACATTATTCAACGTCTTCTTGCCCCTGACCAACTCGGTCTTTTGCAGCATCACAATGGGCAGCTGGAGCATCTGGCAAATGAAACCATAGCCTCTCAACTTCTTAGTGATACAAGCCATAACGATCTCGTGGCCTACGGCCGATATCAAAAAGGTAATGACGGTCGCGTTGGCCTTGCCGACATGCGGCCTGCTGGCGCTGTATACGTGTCTCCTCAGGAAATTGTATACGGGCACGTTCCATTCGCGAGAAAATTCCATCCAGTCCGTGCTGTTCCACCAGTCCGAGTAGAAGTGGCGATCGGCAAAGTGCGTGATCTCGGCGAAGGCGCCGAGGACATACTCGAAGATGACGAGGAAGACGAGCAAGAAGGTGAGCATGAAGGGGAACAGCAGCCAGGAGATGGTCTCCGCCAGAACGAGGAGGCCTTCGAGCGCCGTCAAAGGACCGGAATCGCCGGCGGCGGCGCGCAGCGTAGGATCGAGACGGATAGAGGCGTCGGTCAGCGCGGGCAGGATGAATTCCTCCGATATGACGGTCAACAAAAAGATGCACCCGAAGACGGCCAGGACCTTGGACAGCAGGTTCTGCCAGTCGATGGCGGCGGTGCGCGGGTACTCGATTTCATAGCATAGCGTCGGGCAGCAGAGGTAGTCGAGGTAGTTGGCCCAGGTCAGGTTGGCCGGGTACGTGATGTTGCCCATGGGCGAGGTGAGTTCGCGGGCGAGGTCCTCGCGAAGCTGAGTGATCTCTTCGTCCTCATTGGGGGTGCTGATCTCCTTGGTTTCCTTGCTGCTGGCTTCGGCGGCAGCTTCGACCGCGCGCTGCTTGGGGCTGGCGACGGTGCCCAAGGGGTTTTCGGGGGTCGGGTAGAGGTAGGCCGGGGCCTTGGAGGCGGTGGCCGGGTCGTCGAGCGCTCGCAGACGCTTCTCGGTCTCGGACAGGTGGCCCATGTAGAACGAGTACGAGTGCATTTTCATGAGCAGCACCATGGTGTGTAGCAGCAGAAACACCTGGGCAGTCCACGTCCACTCCAGCCAAAAGGGAATCACGATCCAAACGGCTAGCCAGATGGCCTGGTAGATGCTCTGGATGGCCATGCCGCCCTTGGCCCAGGTCAGCACGCCGCCCGCGGGGGCAGCGCGGAAGACCTTGTGTAGTGGGAGGGATACGGCGGTGGTGGCTACCATGAGGAAGTCAGCAATGGCAAGATGCCAGAGCTTGACGGTGAAGAGCCCCCAGATCTGGACGCGCAGCGGATAGCCCGTGTCTTTGATGTTGCGTAGGCAGGTGGTGATGGCCATGATGGCCAAGCCGATCCAAAAGAGATTGAAGAAGCCATGGAAGTCGCGGTAGTCGCTGTTGGGATCGAAGTGGGATACTCGGCTTGCGAACTCTATCGTGGGGAAGATGCGGCGGCGTTGCTCGGCGCGGACTTGCTTGCGGGCAGTCGAGAGGGATTGGATGGACGGGGGAGCATCGGACGGAATCGGGGTCGAGCGGCCGCTGCTTACACCGGTGACACTGATGTCAGCAGATCAGTTAGCACTCTGGAGAGATGTCCGGTAGGTCTCTTCCACGCTTTGTCTTGTTGTGATGGTCGTACCTGGTAGCTCCGGTACCGTTTGCATGGTCGCTGTCGCCGTTTGCGTCGTGGGAGAGTTGGGAGACTTGAGTATGCAAGGGTTTCCGTGGTCGAGGCCGGAGAATGTTGTCGCCTTGGCCGGCGAAGGCGTCCGCTGATGTCGATGTGGATGTCATGCTCCTCCTTCCCCAACTGAGATTGTACGTCGTCGTATGTGTATGTATAATGCGGTGCCTTGCTTAGATGAAGCCGGCCGCGTTGCAGCAAGTGTCTGGTGCTTCTGGACGGACTGGTAAAGACCGATGATGATGCCAGGAACACGCGCACGGACAGTAACGAGTTCAGGGTCAGTTCGGTCAGACCCCTTGAATCATGCACCGGGAATGACGAAAGAATAAAGAGAGTTTTAAGAATGTTTCTGGTAATTTGCGAAACGTGGGAGCTTGCTTCTGCCAATGACAAGCTGTGGTGACATACCGCGGTCGTCTGAGGTTTATTTCCACTTCTTGTGTTTACAGTCTGGTATCTAACTCTAGTAGTTCATTGTCCTCCTTTTTCAGTTGCCCTTCAGTTATCTAAAGTACCAACGACAACCAGATGAAGCTCTCGTCAGACTTCCGCCTGTCAAGTCAAATTCCACAATGCAAGACATTGAAACTTTGGACAGTAATCGTCGTCCTATCCCTCTTATTTCCCCGGCATCTAGTCCAAATCTCGATACGAAGTGTAAAGTGCAAGCTGTTCTCCGCTGGCCGGCAACAGTCCAAAGTCGCAATACGTCACTTCCACGTGACTATAGCAGGGATTGTGAAGGTTGAAGGAGGTGATGATAGCATGGATAACCATGTCGGAGCCAAAAATACAATGAAAAAAATGAATAAAAAAGTAAACTTCGATTCGGATAATCGGAAATCACTTGAGCTCTCCAAATCTTGCAAAGGCGAAATCGCAACATGGCGAGCATGGTCATCCCCCATTTCGGGACGGACATGGAATAGACTGGAACAACACTCATCCAGGCAAACCCTCGATTGGGGTTGAAGAGTCGAAGCCACAACGGGAAGGGCCGTTCTTTGATACGTGTAGTCGTGGACGCATTGATCCCCGCGGATTACAGATGGAAACACACAGACAGTCGTCCTTTTTCAATGAAGAAAAACGCCATTGTCATCTCAAGTCCCCGGCCCATGGACCGCGAATGTTTTTTTTTTCTTTTTTTTTTTTTTTTTTTTTTTTTCTGTCCGGACAACGGAGAGCTCAGAAATCGGAGAGTTCATCATCGTGGGGAGAAATCGTGGGGAGGGATCGTGGGGACAGAGCCAAAGTCGCCATCACCGGCATCGACATTGACATCGACATCATTCGGAGAAAGAAAGGAAAAAGTGACGTTTAGCTGTACCACGTCTCGTACATTGACTCTCGGCTTCTTCCCTGTCCAGTTAATCAGTCACACATGGTGCGCCTGTCGGTCATTCTTGGTGGAAGGTCTTGTCCTGCTAGCAAGCCTGCCAACAGGACTCTCTTGGTGTCTCTTGGTTGATCCCGTGCGCATCGACACATGGACTAAAAGATTTCACTTTTTGGAGGGATTTTTGGGGTCGATGGGATGCATGTCCAAACTTGGACGGATATCCAACCAAATATCGTAAAAGGCCGTCAGCGTAGCAATTGTCTTCCCCTTCCAAAGCGTGAAGGGGTCGCAGCCAATGAATTTGGCGGGTTAGACATCGTGCGAATGTGATGCGGCCCAGAGAGTCAAAGTCGAAGCAGAGCTTCATTACTTGCCAGCGAGTGTCTTGACAGAGTTCAACGCCAAGGTCTAAAAGCCGATCTCGGCGGATCAGGTCTTATCAACTTGATGGTCGCTATCTTGGATCAAAGATACACCACGGCGGGATATATCTTTTGTGGCAATCAAGCGGCAGCCTGGCCGCTCCGAATTGGTGAGCCCTGAGATAAGGCAGATGATATTGTTCATGTACAGATCGATGTACCAGAAGGGAACTTTCCCTTGAGTTGCCGCAAGAAAAGGAACCCCAGTATCAGGTACATGATGACATTGTGATATAAGGGACTGGCCATTGGGCATCTGGGCTGCAGCACATGTGTAACAATAACTGAAAACCCATACACTAAGATAATCAGCATTACCGAATTCCGTTCGTTGCCGGGCAGGTGCTACAATAGAAAGATTTACTTGGTGATGGACAACTGAATGGACTTGTGTGATATTGCAAGATGACCGAAGCCCCGGTGGAACTCCACCCCCCACCCCCAGCACCCAATTGACAATCCCTGGAAACGGAAGGTATCGCCAGACTATTTTCCTGAACAAGGGAACTCTCATTTCCATTCCGGCCATCTTTCGATCGATTCTACCTAGTAGGACCTGCCAAACGTGTCTCGGGTAAAATAACATCATTTTCAGTCTGGTCGGATTCGTTGAGATGTCGATGAGTCTCTTTGTTCTGTGTTGGTGGTCCACCGGCACAGCAACCATGATGCAATGTCCATCCCTAGAGGTAATATGCCGCCGTCGTCGTTGGAAATTAAACAGAGAGGACGTGACAGTGGTCACCTGGCATGCTAAAACAGCAAGACTGGCGCGGGACCCGTGCTTTGGGATATGAGCGCCGTGGGCCATGGTGGTTTTCCAGGCAATGTTCAATTTCCAGACGCTGGCTATTCTAGTCTTCATCACGTTATCACCTGACGGCATGTTCCACTGGGATTTGGTTGTTTTCGGATCGACGTCAACGTTACCTCCACCCACTGCCTCTTACCCACCCCGCGCGCGGCGACACAGTCGAGATCGAGGAGTCACCGACACCACGCGAAGAAGAAGTCGCGATACCTTCCATTCCTAGGTTCCTTGTCAGCTTCACCGCAGTTGCCTCGATAGGTGGAGGTACCTACGGGTACTGCCTAGGTACCTACCCGCATTACCGGCGAGTCCAGCCCGTTGCTGCCTACCCATACCTAGTGTACTGGTACTGCGACGACAGTCTGCCACTACTGCACGCTGTGCCGACTGTCCCTCACGTCCCTGGAAAGCTCCATCGCGACCCTGGGCAACAACTCCAGCCTGGCGTGCAGGTACCCTAGAGGTACCTTGGAATTAGCAGGCTAGGTAGCTTGGTAGGTACCCGGGTGATCCAGGTGTGGCAGGCCCCCCCAGCGGGAGGTCGCGGTTTGCGAAAGCGCATCAAACTTCCAACCCCGAAATCGACACCAACAAGGGTCTGCGACAGCGGCAAAAAGCAGAAAGGGGAGAGCCCGAAAGACAGACAAAAAAAAAAAAAAAAAAAAAAAAAGTTCAACGGCCGGGGACGAGTCGACTCAGAACAAAAGGGATCAACACCCCAAATCCCGTTTGTCTCTCAATCCTGGACCGAGTGAACTGAGCGAGTCTAAGCCGTCGTCACATCACATTATCATTACCACCAGCGCACCTAGCCACGCTTCTCTCTTTCACTATCAACCTACGACATCAAGTGACGACGCTATCTACCAACCTATTTGTCTAACGGGACTACTACATACCTGCAAGCGGAACTCAGGACTGGAGCGTGGTATAGCACAGCCTTGCCGGGCTCGTCACTCCGGGCATTCCCGTTCCACTGCGGTTGGGGCTTGTACTCTTTTGGAATCGGCGGATTTTGGTCCAGAGGGCCGAATCGCCGACAATTTGGCCAGTTTGGGGGGAGGAGGAGATAAACCTCAGTCAGACTGACCTGGACAAAGCTGGGCTATCAGCAGGCCGTCAGACAGCAGGGCGCAACCGAAGGGAAGCTCTCATCACCTACCCACCTAGGTACCTACATACCTACAGCGCACTGGCATCATAGCGCGGAGCCCAAACCCGACACCACACTACTGCATATCCATACAAGGCCCGCCTCTGAAGGACCAGGACACACCCGGGCCTGCAATTCGCCAGCTTCTTGCATTTCCCCCCCCAAATCCCTCCAGCTGCATCTCGACCCTCAACAATCTTGCTGTTCTTGTAGGTACCCGGCAACCGAAAGGCACCCTGCTGCGGAGCGAATTGCCATAGGCCAGTCATTCGGTCACTTACACCAACCTAGCTCACCAAGGTACCTCGACATAGACTCATCGAGCCGTTTTAGCCTCGGGGGTTCCACTTACACCCAGATCCTACCTTCACCATCACCGACATCACTGCGACTACTTGGGAAAAGGAGGCCTAACCCCGGAAGACATTTTCATACAAAAGGACGGGAGGCCCGATAACACAGTACCAGCTAGCCGCGGGTACCTGAATTGCCGTGTGGATATCGACCGTGGACGTGGACGTGGCCGTGGGACGTGGCCGTGATCGTGATCGTGGGCATGCAAGTGACAGTCAAGACGTTCCAGGATCCGCAGCGCTGACCCGACGCAACCGCAAGTGCATCACCTGGGCAGAAAAAGATACCAGGACCAGCACCACGACAGAGGATCCCAGAGGACCACCCCGTGGACCAGGCCCGGACGAGACGAGGACCACCACCAACCAACCCGCACTACCAAGCACAGAGTTACCAACGACAATGTCCTCCAGAAACTCCTACTCGCATTTTTGCTCCTCTCCTCCTCCCCTTTCCTCCTCCTCCTCCTCCTCCTTTCGGGAGGCTCCCTATGCACAAGGCGACGGTGATGCGCCGCGGAAAGACGCAGCAGCTGCTGTAGCTGCCGCAGGCTTCCTCAACGAGCACAATGTCCACCAAAACTCGGCCCTCAACCTCGACTCTCCACCGTCGCCCAAGTTGACCTCTGCCGAGACCCCGGCCGGATCTACATCCGTCTCAACACCGAAGCGGGAACGCGCCGGCACCCTTTGCAGCAACCTTGATCAAATCCAGTTTCGGTCTCATACCATTGCTCCTTCACCCACCCTGCCGCGCTTTACATCTGCTTCCACCCCTCCGAGACCTGCTGCGTCTGCGTCTGCGGACAGCAACCTGCACTCGTCCCCGCGGGGTCGCCAGAACCTTCACTCGCCGAGTGGTCACGGATTACGACTGCAGACCGAGATAAATCCTATAGTAAACCCATTCGCCACGGCAACCGGCGACAGCTCAACCTTTGGAACCTTGACCTCTTCGCCCACACTTATAAGGTCGTCGCGTCCTTCCTTGACCCTGCACCACAAATCTTCCGCCTCTTCCCTCAGA